CTCCCTCCTTCCCTCCCAAACTGCAGATACACATATGCATATCATGTCCTCCATGTTTTGCATTCTACGCATCTTTAAAATCTATTAGAATAAACCCAAAAACAAAGCTTTATTGACCCTAACAAGCTGTGGAAAAGAAGCGAGCATTTACAGAATAGTTCAGTCATACATAACCCAGAACGATAACACTCAATAAAGTGGAGATTATGAAACAAAAGGGCAACACTGGGCACTAAACAGATGGAGAGAGCAGCAGGAGGGGCAACATTAGCATTCTGCAAGTCAACTTGGCAGCAGTAAGCTAATACCAGTAAGTCAATGGATCAACAGGCAAAAGAAGGGCATTCAGCTTTTCAACAATATCCAACCATACATTCAATTATTGCAATTTAGAATTTATTTCCTCCTTTTATGTTTGTGTTAGAAATTAGCATTTTTAATTTTTTTTTTAAGTAATTGTGCTTCTCTCAGATTCACCCTGTGTAGAAATGTTTCAAAAACTTTCATAGAGGACTTAGTCATAGTTTACAACACATAAACCTCTCCTGCACAGAAAACTATGACAGCCAAGGTACCTGGAGAAGCACAGAGAGCACTAAAAACTTCCCTGTGATAGTTGTATAGCAACACCCCACAAACAGGCTTAAAAAAGGCCTGCTTTTACAGTAACTCCTGTTCCTATTTTTTTTTTTTTAAAACAGTCTGACATGCATGTTTGAATATAATAACCAGGTAACTGTAAAAATCAGAATTTGGTCTTCTTAATACCTGTGTGGGTGAAGAAAATAGTTACATGATGAAAAAAGTTCTTTAAATGAAATGGGTGATGGACAAAAGTCCCCAGAATATGGACATAACTGAATGTGAATGAATCATGTTAAAAAGACAGGAGCTGGCGAATACAACTTGCCTTTTTACCTATTGTGGTGGGATTGTAGGGTAAGTGCCAAAAGAACAAAGAGCACTCCAATAAATCTCAAGCTGCTAAGGAAGATCTAATTCTTTTTTTAGTGTGCAGACTTCTGATACCAAGTGTTTAAACCCTCTTCCAGAGACTACTGGCAGCAGGCAGAGATGGGGGAAAGGACCAAGTTCAAAGTGAAACACACCAGCATCATTGAAAATTGCATCTAGGGTCATGTAGCTGTGACCACGCCTATGGGAATCTTTTTGAATTACCTAAAAATAACCAATATGTACCAATGATGTAACAGAAATGCTAGTTCTTTCTTTTACAAGTTCTGTACCTCCCTTTTAGACCAAAAATATAGATTGTAATCAACATTTCACAGGCAGAGCTAATAATGGTGTTGGAGAAGATCCATGTGTGTACACAACCACACACAAATTTAAAAAATTGATGATTATGCTCTGAAATTATAATGAAAATCAGAAAATCAAAAAGGTCATAGCTTCCCAAGAACCTGAATTTTGCCATATTATTAACATCTTTTGAAGAACATTGATTATACGTAATTTACTGGTACAGCAAAGCTGAATTGTAGCATTTTAGAGTACATTACTTTCACCTTCCAGGGCCTAGCAGCAACTTCTTGTTTGCCTTTTCACATCTTACACAGTGAAAAGACAAAGGTTGGAAAAAAGTTCTTTTGAGAATTTATAAGCCAATTAGAAATTTAAATTTAGGCTGCATGCAATGTTTTGATTTATGTCACTACAGACAGAATCTACTGATTGACCCACTCAATCTACCAATAGATAGAGATATTCTGTGTCTGTGGATAGTTATATACAAATGTATACATACATATTTTTATAGAAAATAAAATAAAATCTGAAATAACACAAAAAAATTTTAAAAATTGCCATATAACATATTTTCAGTACAATGAAAGTAAAAAAGCCATGGCAAACACATTCTGTAAATGGAGAAATACTATAATTTAATCCTCTTCACAACATATGATAGCTACATATTTGCATATTAAATTCTGAATGTAGTAAAATGTAGCGCAATACCTTGGTCTAAAGGGAACTCTAATTTATAGGCACCTTGACTTGTACAGGATTATTTGTAAGGCTTTCACAGTCAGCTATGTCCAAATAAGTTGTATTACACTTACTAGCAGTTGATTATTTCTGTATCAGTAGAAAAATGATACCATGCTGAGTCTCAAAAACTGAAGATACTTCACTCAAGATACTTTTAAGTAATTGTTTTTTAACTAATTGTTCACAAAATCAGTTAAGCAAAGCAGATTTAGACTATCTTTCAGGATAAAACATAAAGTTATTTTTATTCATCTCAAGACTACTCTTACATGATGGGGGATAAGCAGGGACATGAAAGTATGTTTTATAATTTTGCACACAAATGATGCAATAATAAACAATGTGCATGTAAATAAGATGGTAAATGCATCTTCATTTACCAAGTAAAGAAGATGTTTCTTTTCTTGAGACTAGAGCTAGATATTTATCTTGCAGGATAAGTGTGACAGAAGAATGTAAATGATGGACAAAATTTTGGTAAGTCAAGAACTGGAGAATTTTATGAAAGGATGTTAAAATCCATCAACAGGTTTTCAGTTTCTGTCTGTTACCAGAAATGTTACTATGAAAGAATTTTTGCATGAAATGGACCCATGCTGCAACAAGATGTCATGTCAGCCAGATGGGTTTTTATCATTACTCTCTATGCTCTCCCCCTGTTGTTATCATCATCTCATATACACATCAACTTAATCACACATCTTTGCTTGCTTGGGACTCAGCAGACTCCAGTTCTGCATAGCCCTGACTATGCCCTGACTAGGCAAAGGCTGACATACATTGTGAGATGGTTGCTGACTTTTTTCCTTCTTTTAAAAAATTCATTCTTAAATGACTGGATTTTTCATCAGCAATATTAGTAAATCTTAGATATATCAGAAAGTGTAAGAGAAGAAATGGATGATTTGGAGGTTGAGAGTCTTGTGATGAAGTTACATAATTGGTTTCCTTTTGCCAGAAAAACTGGCCACAAAAATTCCTTTCATTACTTTTTTTTACCATGGATGTTATTCATCAGCCATGCCAACTCATTTGCTTATTAGATGATAATATTAACCAGGAAAAAAAAAAAAATAAAAGCAATCCTAGTTAACAATAATACCCTTTTTTTGGCAGGTCTATGTGAGCCAGTTTCCCTGCCAAATCTGGTGGTCATATAACTGCACATATAAAAGAACAAACCAGACAAACCCCTATGGGAGAACTTTTCATTTTGTGAACAGCAATTAGGCATCCAATTACCATTTAACCATTCTGAAAACTGTTCCCCCATCATCCTTTCCCCTGTTTATAAATTTGGAAATACAATAATATTTTTTTATCCACTTTTTCAACCTTGTGTATTTGGACTTGCTGGCCACTAGACTGGAAAAGATGTTTTCATGCTTTCTCAAGATTCCTAAACCCTTTATGTCTGCCTTCTGGATTCCAAGAACCAGCTGCAATCTGGTTGCGATAATGTCACTTCGGAAATGATGACATTTTTTTCTGTATTTTCTGTATTCAGCATCAATTATTTTTTTCTATTACTGTCTCTTTGAGTTTTTTGTATTGCTTTGTTTTGTTTGTCACATCATCCATTACATGCAGACACTGATGAGGAGAGAAAAAGGAAGAGCTTAGAAAATGATAGTCTTTGTAACTCCAGGTGTGTTGTCACTTGCTGCTCACTGTCGTTTTTCGTTTTCCTTGGTGTGCTAGCAAGAATATGTAACTGAAAAATACAGAGAACAAGAAATTATTGGCTACCTGGAGAAAAAAAGAATAAAAGAAGTTTTATTTTATGAGTACTTTGGAACTGGCAGCTTGAAGCACCAGCTGCCTGCTTGTTTTACTATTATTTGTTTTAAATTTATAAATGGATGGGTGGGAGGGAAGGCAACTTATAGTACTTGTTCCTGTTACGCTCATTATTTTATAAACTTGAGCTTGGTCCAAGTACAATTGCTAATGGAAAGAAAAGAATCATTGTTCCTCAGATCATGAGAAGGAGAAGACTGTTCTGTGCCTCTTTCTATTCCCTCTCTGGTAGTATAAAGTACTTTTTTCAATGGTGAGAAGGTCAGTCTCTCACAGAGGTATCTTTACTTCTGTTACTGCTTAGCCATGCTTTGTGTTAAATGCAACAATCAAGTAGGACAGCCAGATTGCAACCTTTGCTCCAAATGCATTTTCTAACACCCATGTAGTATTTAATAATATTCTCCTAGCCAGCATTCTCCCAGCTATGCCTCTTGTTTTGTAGGTGCTTCTGTTATACTTATTTATTTTGAGTACAGGGCCAGAAGCAGTCCAAAAACAGTCCAACACCTTTTAGAAACAGTCTAATCCAGAAAATACAGAGTAGCATGGAAGACAAACCCATGCTTTTCAAACAATAGGCACAAGTAGGAATATGCTTGCTTCCAGATTTTCCTCAGACTGATCTCTAGCCTCCAACCCATTTTCTACTCTGAGTATTAACGTATTTGTACTTTGGTTACTAGTAAATGGTGTATGCTGTGTCTTTCTCATACAGCAATCTGTGAATACCTCTAGAAATGTACACAGGAAAAGAAAATAAAGGAAAACTAACAGAATGTATCTTCAGCATATTCAAAATAAATGATTCAGAAAATACTTCTTGATTCCTAGCAGACAGGGTAAATAAGCCACTAACTGTTGAGGTGGTAAATGCACACCCATGTGGATTCTACTTTGGCTAGCTTTCGGGAGGATTTACCTTTGGGAAAAATCTCACATTACAGGGGCTCACATGAGACTGTCATTGTGTCCTTTCTGCCCTTTAAGTCTCTGAGAAAAACTTTAGAAGCTAAAAAAAGGCTCTGTAACTGCAAGTGAGAATAAGAGATATGGCTAATGAGCCCACAGCTGACTAAACTCTTGTTCTCTTAGAGCAGGCTGAATGCCTCCATTTCACAGCCACACCGGTGAAAGGCTCAGAAATCCCCCGCAGCTTCTGAATTCCTGAGAACACAACACATTTAGCATTTTGTGTTTTGACCCCACTTGGGTTTCAGCTATCAAATGTCATACAGAATGCAGAGTCTGAACATGTGAAGGAATGAGTTTCTCAAAGGCTGAACGAGCTGTCGACAAAGTCTACAGTACAAACTCGGATATAATACTTGGCATTTACCTGGATCATTCCAGAGTATGACATGAGCATGGGCATCTTTGTGTAAATTTGAGCCTGACCACTGTAAAAAGAAATAAAAAGCAAAAAACTTTTTTTATATCCTTATAAATTCCAGACATTTTTTAATTACATTTTTAAAAGGCAAGAACTACAAAGTAAAATGGAAGCTGTTTACAGCTGGGTATCTACTTTACACACCTTTACAAGGCAGTGTATTACATTCTTCAGAACCAGCTGGAAAACTAAGATTAAGCCTAACACTCTTCAGGATTAGTAAATACCTTGCTGGAGCTAGTAATTCTGCCCTTTAAAAACAGAACAGCCTAATGGTCTTTTCCAATATAAGGAAAATTACTTCCAAACATCTCTTTATATACTGGATTTTGGCTGGTTTTTGAAAACATGCATCATAAATTCAGCTCAGGGAATGATTCCTTGGGTTCACGCCAAATTACCAGGTCATTTAAATAGGTTCTGTATGCTGTTATGCACTTAAAATTATTTACACTAGTTTTATAATTCCTTCAATCTGCTCTTTAACACTAGCACAGTGGATGACCATTTAGTCCAGAAAATCAACATCTTTCTGTTATTTCCTTTTTGTGGAGAGAATGTTGTTATCAAGCATCAGCGTAGCTGCAGTGATGTTTCAGAGGATGTTTCATTTACATTGCAAATAGCTTGATTCTCTTTATTTTGAATACTGTATTTGTTCTTGTTAATTCCCTTCCCTTTCATTTTTCTCTTTTGAGTTCTGCCCATACTGCTTTGTAACTAGCTTCCCAGGCTTTTGGGGCCTGAGCATTTAGTAGCTCACATTTGGGAGCTGGTGAATGGCCTATTTTGCTGGCTGAGGTACATAATGCTTGTAGCAGTATGGGCAATTAGGATTGATCAGAAATAACGGGTTTATGAGCCTCAGAAAATGTCAATCAAAATAGCTTTGGTCACTTTAATATCAGCTAAGACTGGAGAGAGATAGACAGACAGACAGATAGATAGATAAATAGATAGATAGATAGATAGATAGATAGATAGATAGATAGATAGATAGAAATAATTTTACAATCATTAACTTTGCATGATATACACAAGGGGAATGACTTAAGGAGATAGTCTGAGAAGTTAAATTTGGAACTTTACTGCTTTTACTATGTTGTATAATTGCCTAGCTGCATGCCATCTGTTCCTCTTCCTCCCTCCAGGCAAAAGGGCATTACAGCCGAGCCAGCAGCAGAAAAGGGTAGAAATGGAATCCTATACATAGAAAATATAGCAAAAAAAGCAGTTGTAAATGTCAGCAATCAAACACAAATCTATTTCGGGTTGTAAATTAGCACAAGAAAAGATCTACTTCCCTTGGCCTGAAATCCTTTTGCTTCTGGGTAAAACCCACAAGAGTAATAGGGTAGTCCCAAGCTCACACTCCATCAGCTGCAAGGAAGTTCTGGTGCCACAAAGTCAATGACAGATCTTCCACTGATTTCAAAAGAGACAAGACTACTTTTAAGTTTATTCTTGTTGCATGAGACTTTAAAATTACCATCCAAATTCAACTTGTGATCCTCATTAAAAATATTCTTGTTAAGCTCTCTGATTGTGTTAATTGACAATTCTGCTTGGTGTTTCTCAATGCATTAAGTTCTTCCCTGGACAGTACATAGTTTCCTTTCTGAAGTTTTCTTTCCCAGGTACTTTCTGTCATGAAAGTTTCTCCGTTTTTCCTCCTTTCCTCCACTGTGCCTGCCCTCCTGCCTACTTTTCTAGAGACAGAAAGAATCAGAAACTTTTGTTACAAGTGACTCTTTTCCTGAGGAATCCTGCACCTTTGCGCTATTTCTGATCTTGACGTGTCTCTACCCATACTTCTGCAGCTCAGACGGGCTACTGTAATAATTCTGAATTATTTTTAATAAAGTTACAATTGTATTACGTTTATTTGCAGCTGGTTGAAAGAAGAAGTTTCTGGGTACATGCAGATCTGCCTGCTAAATATGAACACAAGCCTCATAGCATAGTGGGGGAAGACAAAAAGTCATTAGATAAAATCCAGAGGTGCTAAAGTTATTTGGTTAGCTTTGGTGAGCAGCAGTGGTGGTCACCTACTCAAAAATGTTTCTTAAACATGCCAGGACTCATACTTTCCTACCACAATTTCACTTGACTATCAGTGAGGATAGTCTCTGAAACAGATTGTGCTGCCTTGATTTAACTGACCTTAAAAGAAAAGCAAGGCATTGTAAAAACAGCCTTGGTCCTTGAAAGTATGGTCAATATTTGTCTTCCATTTTCCTAGCATGGTTAGATGCTGATCTCTGGCTTCCATGAGTACAAGGCTATTGGGCCATTTCTGAAGCCTCAAAAGGAAATCATGATTTTGTCTGAAGGCTACCAGACAAGAGGCCCAAGTCACCTCTGTGCTTTTCTTATCTCAGTAATAATCTGAGAGAGAAGTCTGTTAGTTCTTCCAAGGTCTTCAGTAAGGATTGCTGTACACTGATTTCAAGCATGGTTGTTGCTAAAGACCCAAACCACTCTTTTTTTTTAATTGCATTTTTTTACTTTAATGAAAAACTAAGGGTTTCTCACTTGAAGTGAGAATGTCACCATTCTTGTATTTAAAACTTTAACAGTCAGAAAATAAAAGTAGACAAAAGATAATTCTCATCAAAAAATTACTTCTGTTGTGTAATGTTATTCTTCCAAAACACATATATATTTCAACTTGTTTAAAAATCTGTGTATATTTGAAGTAAAATAGTATATTGCTGAATATATTAGTAAATCATCCACATGTTCTTACAACTGAAAGCATGCTCACTGATATTAATTTTTAATTTAGCAACTTAGTTCCTGCACACTATGACTTTAAAAAAAATTCACCAAAATTTCAACAAACTTTGTCATATAATGACATTATCCTACCCCAGTCATGTTCTTCACTTTCCTCCCTGCTTGTAAACTGACTGTTAACTTTGTTGAAATGGTTAATGTGACTAACTTTTCCAGCAGCATAATCACAATTCTCACTAGGAAAATTCAAGGGTCCTCTTTAGAAGAAATTTCTTTTATCGAGAAAAATCATGCTTGAAATTTATAGCACAGATAAGAAGAAAGACATGCACACACATATTCATATGTATATATTCCCCTTTATGCTTTTTTGTAGGTAAAACATAAAGGGCCTAGTCAACATGAAGTACCAAAAAATTCATAACTAGGAAGATAAACTTTTATGAACAGTTTGTGTAATTCACTTAATGGCCTTATGGGTTGTAACACAAATCTTATGCCCTGACAAGCTGATGCATCCCGGAGCAGCTCAGTGAAGCTCAGCTTTTAAATAAACATCCTAACCCTTTCATTTTCTGCTCATGTTCTTAATTTTCCATGGGTCACTTAGCTCCTTTCATTTGGCCCCCCTATCTCTCCCCATGCCACTACCATATCTGTAAGTTTGCAAGGACTAACTACATCCCTGTGCATTCACGAAAGACTCAGGGTTTCTTTCCAGGCCCCAATTATCAATGAGATAACCTGCTTGGGCTTATTATGTGTTTTTTTCCCCTGGAGATCTACAGAGAGGCTGCACCAAAATGTAAAATATAAAAGCAATACGTGACGTAAGCATAACACAACTACCATGGAATAGTTAGGGTGGTGCTGACATTTAAGGTTTCAGATTACCTGAATCTAGAGAATGGTAGCAATTTGCAACTTACTCTGACTCCTGATCTAAAGATAACAGCAAAAGGAAACAAACAACACAAAACAAAATGCCACACAAGTGTTTTCTGTTGCCACCATTGGGAGCTATCTCATAGTATAAAGATATATGAGCCTTTGAGGAGATCCTCACATGTTTCCAAACAATGGTACTGGTTATTGCATTGCAGACTCCTGTGGTGCCAAGGCAACGTGACTTTGCTCTTTGGACTAAAGAATCTCTACTGTAAGGTAGACTATAGCTACAACAATCATAGATACAACAATGAAGGTACTCTGTGGACCTGATTTTTCTGAGCCTGAGAAAGTTACAGCCTGTAAGTGGCTGATCTGTTCCCAAGGGAGTCTCTTGAGAGCATCTCTCACTCAAGGACTATTACTGTAAATAATCTCATTTTCTTAAAACAGTTCTGTACAGCTGTGTTAGTGTGTTTTCTCTTGTCCCACCAATGGGACAGAGAGGTGGTGTTCCCTTTTCCAATCATGTTAAACCTGTATCGTAACACCCTATAAAAAGCTGAAAAGTTCAGATAATAATGCTTTCCTTAGCATCTCCTTCGGGCTGCTGTTAATGAATCCATCCTTCTACTTCATGTCCAACAACGACAGTACTCTATAATTTACAAAGCGGATTTATGTGCTCCAAGAGTGCTTGAAAAATTTTCAGTGTATGATTTAGTTTTCCATTCCTTATTTAGGGTAAGAGTCACTTACCATCAGTTTTCTTCAGCTCCCTGTCTTTATTTCTATACTGCTTCATTAGATTAACTGTCTAAAATTCACCCATTCTTCTAAACATTCTCTTTGAACTCTTGTATCTTTTGAGCTTTGAACTCTAGATTTTCAGGTTTTGGACTGCCCAGTGGCAAATGCTCATTCAAATTTATAGTATTCCTCATACTATTTTTTCCTTGCCCCTCTGCTTACCCCACTGGTTACATTTCTGTTTTAACAGAAGTCCAGACTTCACAAACACAGGATTCCAGAACTGGAAAGCGTAAGTAATTATCCTAGTTGCTTTAACTCATTAGCATTGCCCAATTAAGTATCTGAAACTGACTGTATTATTCTAGGAATATTGACATAGCAGCTTTTTAAGTATTAATGTCATTATCTATATAATTAATTACGTCATTTCAAAACTGCTGAGTCAGAGAAGAGTAGTGTTGTTGCAATTTCTCTGTTTCTTCCATTTAAGAAGGTATAATTTGATTTCCATGCTAGTCTCTTCTTTACTTTCCACTGACAGGATCTGACCCAATGATCCACAAATTAAGCTGCCAATTGCTGTTGAAGGTAAATTACAGAGCTCAAGGACAGGACTCATCTCATCTCATTTAATCTCATCTCATTTCACCTCGTCTCATCACAAGTTATATGTCTACCGTGTACATATATATGTCTGAGCCACTTTCCTAAAATCCTTTTTCAATCACTGAAGTTTTCTTCACTGAGAAGTGCCTTCATAGGCACTTCTCAGGTTTGATTGATCTGGCCTATTTTAGATACCTACTTTCAGAAGAAATTAATCAGGTCCAGGACACCACTGGCTAGTTTGATTAGATTGTCATAGATTAGACAGGAAAACCACAGTGGCTAACTCAGATTAAACATCTTTATTTAGTCCTATGATTCACATGCTGAGTCACTTAGAATAAACTGTTCCGATTCTTTTTGCCTACCTGGTTCTTTTCTCAATCTTTCTGTTGCAAGTACCTTTTCTCTGTCATAGCTCTTCCATGTCAAATATCTTACAGATGTGTTTGGCAAAGGTAGCTGACCTCTTAAACTCCTGCACTGACAGAATTCTTCAGATTACATTTCTTATATTCTTGATGTATGCACATTATATTTTCCACGTAATTGTTTGTTTTAATGAGTTCTGTCTGTATATTTCTTTAATTCATCAAAACTGTCAGTGAGTCTAATCATACCCCTCTCTTTTGGCAGTGTTATTTTAGATAATATTTTACAACTTTTAGAGGGCAGAAGCAATAGTTATTTTTCTTAAGGAAATGAAGAAAATTTGGTTTCAAAGGGATAGCTAAAATAAACCCTACAGATGTTTTGGAAAATTTGATAGTGGTTCATTTGTTACCACCTGTTATCTAGCTTTAAGAAAGGTGAAGTCTTTCTGCAAGGCAATATGACAACGTGAGCTTGATATTATGCCTTAGCTGAAAGTTTGATAGATGGGCTGTTCAGTTAAATCTATATCCAGAATATAGGAAAATACTTCTGATTCAGAGTAACTTGGACAAGACAGAAAAGATGGAAGACAAGAATGACACATGGAGAGAAAAAAAGAGATATATTAGCAGAGTTTATATATTTTACAAACTAACATTACTTTAAATAAAGGGCATGTTTTTTATTCAATATTCAGGTCTAAAGGTTTGTGGATCAGGTGAGAAGTCCAGTTTCTTTTTCTTTCTGACACCATATTAAATATGAACTACTAAAAGTGCTTGAAGGAAAATGTCAGTGAAAAAAATGCAAGTAGATAAATTAACAGATTTTACATTTT